GGTGTGGGTTGGGTGTGGGTTGGGTGTGGGGTGTGAGTGTGGGTGTGTGTGTGAGTATACAGAAAATGAATACTCACACCCCTACCCACACCCCACACCCACCCACACCCACACTCACACCCCACCCACACCCACACCCACACCCAACTGATTTTATTTCAAAACAGCAAGAAGCGCTGTTGTGTTTCAATTCACTGTTGCCTGTAGTTCGTTAAGTGTTCTATCCAGTGGCGCAAAAAGCTCTTAATGATTGAAGCCTCAACCGGAAACTTTTTGCACCACATTAAAAGCATTGATAGGCAATAAAATATTTGAGCATAGTTCAGTGGTAGTCCTTCTTGAATATGAAAATCGATCACTATTTAATGTCTATAAACTTTTGGTATCAGTTCATAGTAATCAGAAGCATTCGTACCATGAACTACCATTCTAAGTTTCTTAGTATTGAATAGCGACCGATTTTTGCATTCAAGAAAGCTTCTCACTGAACTATGCTCATATATTCTATTGTCTATCAGTGGTCTTAGTGTGATGCAAAAAGTTTCCGATTGAAACACTCAAATGCTTCAATGAATAAGAGTTTTTTATGCCATTGGATAGAGCACTTTATGAACTACAGGCAACAATGAATTAAAACACAACAGTCCTTCTTTCCGTTTTTAAATTAAATAAGTTCGAGAACTTTTTGAACGTGGGTATATTTGTCTTTAATGTGTTAGATAATTGTTTCAATAAAACATGAGCGATTAATTTACTCCATTTCAAAGTGATCAATTATTATCTTGTGTTACTAAAAGTCAAACATACAGAATATATCCATGTGCGGCAACGGTTGTTGGGGAAAATTTTTGAAAATTTATTGGAATCTGAAGAAATTCAAAGTTGAATAGAATCTAAAAAAAATTTTTGACAAATATTTTCCTGTCATAGATAAAACTTGTCAATTTTCGAAACAAATCTCGGCTTAGTTCTATAAACATCAATAAAAGCTTCTACATATCTTTTTTCTTTTCTTCTGATTAAACATTTGAAAGAGTCATCAGTGTCTTTATCATAGTGTCAGTATCGTCTATCTTTGTTTACGTTACTCATGCATCTTACTACTTGTTGCATTCTGTCTCTCGTGTATCTATTCATGATAGAAGGTGCACTATTTGTATTCTTCTCTGTTCTTTCTATATTATGTTCCTAATGTAATGCTACTCTTCCGATTTTTTCTCTGTTGCTATTGTATTTCCATATGCGTAGATAACTACTGGGATAACTAATAATTGTTCATCAGTGACCGGATCGATCCATTTTTCGTTGATTCGAGTTAAATTCGATTCGAATAACTCTCTACTTCTACTTAAACCAAACGATATTGAATAGTAGCATTGTTTTTTTGAGTAAACATCTTGAACGAGAAAACTCGTCTTTTAATTGAATTTTATATTGGGAAAAATTTTTTATTTTCTCGGCAGATTCTGGATCCCTGCTAAAAGTATTCGACTATGAACGAGAAAATAAACGATCAGACCAATACTTTCTTCCTCTATTTATTCATTAAAAGACAATCTAATTTAAATTGGTGTATTATATTTAAATGAATAAAGATATTTCTAATGTTTATATTTGATCAACTTTTCAAAAAGAAAAGTTCACAAAGATTTGACATTTACATAAATTATTTATTTTATTGTTTTCGTTCATTTGAATGCTTGCCATAGTAAGCTAGTGGAAAAAAGTTTTCAATAATATCTATTGATTCATAGAATGGTTCAGATGTTAGTAGTGTTCCTACTCTACAACAATTGTCTCTTGCTTGTTGTTGGTTTTGATCGATTATTGTCAACAAAATATCCTTGTTAATAGCGAGTTCGATTAGAGACGGAAGATAAATTTGACAAAGAAATTGTTGAGCATAATCCATATGAATATCATTTAAAATTAGTACAGTTAAATGAGCAAAGTCAATGTTAATTTTCTCTGTTGTCGTTTTTTCTTGTTGTTCAAGTTGATTAAATATCTCGAGTGTTCGAAGTCGAGGTAAAGCTCGAGCAACACGTTCAAAGAAAACACTTTCGAAAGGTTTGATATCATCAAAAAGTAATAAGATAGTAACATTTGAAAATGTCTTATTAATGTCAAAGAGTGGAAATCGATTTGAGACAAAATCAAGACGAGTACCAATAAATGGAATTGAATAGATTTGACATTGTCCATAGTTATTATTAAAATTATCGAGTACACAATCAAACGGGCGTTGGTGTTTGAAAAAACTTTGACGAATTTGGTCAATTGTTATATGAGAAGCATTTTTTAATATTGAACGAATATGATAATTAAATTGACGTAAACGAGGCATATATGAAAGAATATTTCTCTCTAAGAAAAATCCATCAATAAAATGATTGGGTGTAGTACCTTGTACACCTATAGCTAATAATAATGTTAAATATTCGACATTTACCAAACGTTGTAGAAGGAAAATACATGGTTCATAGTTATTAAAATTACGATACATTGTTATTGTCATTTGTGTTAAATTAGGACACGAAATCTGAATGAGAATATTTATTGAAATGTTAAATCTTGAAATCTTACTTACCGATCTTATTTTAGAAATAAAACTAGGTTCCTCTTCCAAAACATTTCCTATAGTAACTGTAAATGAATGGAGTTGTGAGCCTAATTGATTTAGTAAATGAACGCATTGGTCGAAACTCCATAAAGATATACGAAGATGAGTTAGTCGAATTACTTGATCGAAGCGCAATTCATCATCGTCAAGGCTTTCGATTAACATACAGTTATCATCAAGGTCGAACGATTCAATAGAACGCATACATGATGAACGACACAAGGCAGATATTTTTTCACCAATCATATATTTGGGTAGTATAAAATATTGAGGTACGATTGAAAAGAGAGGTTTGCGCATTGAACGGCTCTTCATCAAACGATTCACTAAAACATATGTACAGTGTTATTATATAATATAGGGTGGCCCAAAAGTTGGTTTCCCGAAAAAAAATTGAATATTTCCATTACGACTCGAAGAAATGAGCTGATTCTTTTATCAATGATAGAGGCATATTCAAGCTTTATATATATATATATATATATAAAGATATACATAGAGAGAGAGCCTTTATTAAGTATTACTATTGATCTTAACAAAAAAATTTTACTTTTTCACAAAAGAAAAAGAAACAATATACTTAACAAAGGGTCTCTCTGCACATATCTTTATGAATATAAAGCTTAAACAAGCTTTTATCATTGATAAAAAAAATCAGCTTATTTGCTCAAGCTGTAATAGAGATATTCAATTTTTTTTCCGACACAGTGACTTTTTGCGCCACCTTGTATATTGTTTTTTTCCTATATGTGAAGTAAAATTTTTTTTTTGTTGAGATCAATAGTGATATTTAACAAAGGCTCTTTCTATGTATGTCTTTATGGATATGAAGCTTAAACATGCCTTCATTATTGATAAAAAAAATCAGCTCGTTTGCTCGAGCAGTAATGGAGATATTCAATTTTTTTTTCGGAAAACCGACTTTTTGGCCACCCTTGTATATCGTCAAGCTAGTTGTTTTCGATAGTCATCAATGAACAAATCGACAAGATTTTTACATATTTTACTCAAGCTATATGCTTACTATGAGAAAAGATTTTATATATTAAATAAGTCAAACAATCTAGGACCTATTTTACTCATTATTTTCAAGTGTAGTCTTTCTCTAAACAAGAGTATTGAATGAATTTATTTTCTCTAAAACATTAATAACAGAATTTGACATTGTCAAATGATAAAACTTTCTTTCTTTTCTCAACAGAAAATAAACTAACGCAATATATAAATACAGTTTAGAAAAATCTAATCAATCATAATTTACTTGTATAAGGTATGCCTGTTTTAGCCTGTTTAACCCCCAACATTATTTTCAAATGTGTCAAATTTGGAAAAGTTCCATTAAAGTTGTTTTCAGCAAAAGTTTTAATATACGATATTTGACTAAGATTAATTGTTAATGATTGAATATGATGGCTGATACGTGGCATGACATGAGAACAAAATCGTCGAATAAATGGTCGATATGGTGTTCCAATATAACAGAAAGTTAAATCGATTGAATGACATCTATTAAATGCAAGTTCTTCTAAACGATGATTTCCAATATCAATCATAGAACAAAGTAATAGCACATGAGGATTAACTTTATTCATAATATATAATATTAACTCATCTGGTAAATCGATCAATTCAACAACATCTTTTATGCACAAAAATCATTAAATTAATCATATTATAAAGTAGATACATACTCTTCTTTGATAAACAGTTCATTGTTGATGTATATTAAGTTCATATAAATTAAAACTGATATATATACTTAGGGCATACCAAAAGTAGTGAGGGAGGTACTTTTTTTCCTTGAAGCGGGGTAAAAAAAAAATTTCTTTTTTACCAATAGATAGAGCGTGTTTCACTCTATTTTTCTATGCTATTTGGTCACTATTAAACTGTTATCATTATTATAAAATTTCGATAAAATCTGTTTTTGTCGCATATACGCTGGTAGCATGAACATGATGCTTGTGAATATTTTTGGAATAACTTTTGATAGAAACAAGATAGAGAACTGCGGTTTTCGTCATTGGAAAGAGGAGATGAAGACGCATCGAGCAATGCATTACTAATTTTTCTAACCTGCTTTTTGTAAGGTTTTAGGTCACCTTTTAAAGAGCGATTCCATTCCACGAGTAGTTTACAGTAAATTTTCAATAATTGTGTTCACATTCAAACCGCTTATCGGAGATCTACAGACTGCGAAAGGCTCAGCTGTTTAAATATAATTATTTATGGATAATACCTATTCTAGACGAACCTCTATGAAGATATTCTTGAAAATTTTTTGCTTTTTCTTTTTTTCATAAAACAAGCGTTTTTCTAATGATTAGAAAATTGAATAAAAAAGACCGTCAGAAATCATGTTAGAAAAATCAATAATATGTATTTCGATGCGTCTTCATCTCCTCTTTCCAATGGCGAAAACTGCAGTTCTCTATCTTGTTTTTATCAAAAGTTATTCCAAAAATACACACGAGCATTCATGCTACCAGCACATATGCGACAGAAACAGATCCTATCGAAATTTTATTATTATGATAACAGTTTAATAGTGACCAAATAGCATAGAAAAATAGAGTGAAACACGCTCTATCTATTGGTAAAAAAGAAATCTTTTTTGTACCCCGCTTCAAGGAAAAAAAGTACCTCCCTCACTACTTTTGGTATGCCCTAAGTATATATATATATACAGTAATCGCCATAAGTGGGCGCGATTGAAAAAACGAGGAAGACAAAGGAGTTATTTGGTCATATTTTATTTATGAAACTTACATTATATGTGCATCATCCTCATAATTAATATAATGGCTTTTTCTTTCAATTAACAATGCTACTCTATTTTCCATAGAATCGCCTAATTTTTCAATAAATTCAATAGCTAAGTTTCTCCATTCTTTTTTTTATTCTCTCAATGAAATTATTGATCGATATATACGGTTCTTTTTTTATTCTGAGCTCCACTAATGCCTAGACATCTTCAGTTGGGTTAAAGTCTTTCAGTTTTATATCCTGCTGGGGTCTTTTTTAAAACATCGTCACTTGTTAGCAATGGTTTCGAGATCGGTCTCATTGAATGTACATCGGTCTCTTTAAATCTTCTTCTTAATGTGGTTTTACTAATTTTTATATCTTTTTGTGATAATCTAAACGCAATTTGACCGACAGATTCTATTGAATGTTGAGCTACCATGGATTGAATTGTTGTGTATTGTTTTTCCTGTATAGACCGGGTTTTTGTACAACTTATACGTCACCAGCTATTTCATACCTTCTAAGCCTACATTTTACAATTACTTACTGATTCGTATAGATACTGTGGAATATTACCATTTGACATATGTGGGGAATAGCTTTGCCTTTATAGAAAGATAATTTCTTGTCTTTTCTTTAAAAAAAGACTCATTTTCTATTGAGTTATAAATTGATAACAGAATGAATATAAATGTTCCTATTTATACCGGATGATGAGCCCAACTAGCCCCTCCAAACAAAGCAAAAAGATGAAATAAAAGTCATTGTTGGAGAAGAAAAAGAGCTCGCGGCCACTTATGGCGACTACTGTATATATATGTAGAGTTATGTTTGATGGACATTGTCTAAATGATAACCAATCATTGATAATTAATTATTATAACAAAGGAAAGATTATTTATAGAAAGAAAGACGTAAATCGACCAATTAGATAAAGGCATTTTCATTGTGAAACATTATTTGTTGATTTAAAGCTATGTCTAACCTTTAGAAGTAATAGTGGACTAATGACATAATTTAAAAAATCGTACATGATAGAGCATTGCCCCATAGTATTTGAAAAAATCGATTCGAAATCATGTAAACAATGCTAATTACAAGTTTTTTTTATTTATCCTACTGGTAGTATAAAAATAGAACTAGTCCATTTCTAGTTATAACATATTTAGATATGTTTTTATGGAACTCTTATTATATTTAGTTTATCCGTTCTTGAAAAGTTTCTATAAAACACGATTAGAAATGAAAAATCTTTTTTGCGAAAAACACGCATGTTTATCATATGTTTGAAGATATAAATATTAATATTAATTTAGATCATTCTGGGATAAATTCAAACAATATCTATGAAATTACATTATTTTGTTTTGAAATATTTCGTTTAACCTATTGAAATGTAATCTTGTGATAAAGAGGATTGCATATCATCAACATATTTCTATATGTTTATTGTCTTGTTAAACATTATTTGTATTTATTTTAAGAAAATTTCATCGATTAGACTATTAAGAATTTTTGTTGATATTTCTATTGATATGTTTATTTGTTAGAATCGATTTAGATTTTCATTGTTGTTTAATGATTTTCATAATTTTTGTAGACATGAATGAAAACAATAAAAATATATTTAGATATTCTTTTATCAATATATTCTCAATTTAGTTCGAAAAGAAAAACATATCATTTTATCTTATCTTTGTAAAGAAACAGTTTTATTAAATGAAGAAAAATAATTCGTATGATTTGAAATGTAGTTTTTGTCGTTATCTTTCACAAACTCGAAATTTTAAATCGTATATATCTTGTTCAACATCAATACATATTCAAATTTAACTTTTACAAAAGAACAAAAAAATCAATTAATTCTATGAAATGAATTTAATTATACAAATAAAATACTTAATCTTAATCTACAATAAATCTATATTCAAATAAATGTCTATTTAGTAAGTATATCTATTCAATTATTAATTAAACAATAAATTTATTTATCCTAATGTATTCGTTTTCTATGTAGTCTATATATAAGACAAAAAAATATTCTATGAATAGATGATTTTCCTAGATGATATGATTTCTGTTGATATAACTTCAACGGAAATGATGTTTATTTCTACGATATGAAAATAACATATAATTATGGTTATATTGATCACTAATAATAATTTCAATGCTCTACTTTTCCTATAGAATATTGTTGAAAAATAGTCTAGTTTTATAGATCATACTATATCTTTATTTTATTTTTCCCAATTATTTCAGGACAAACATTTTGAACTTTATTTAAAATAATGCTTATTCGTAATGTTTGTAAACAAAACAATAAAATCATTATTATTTTTTTATTTAACAGATAACGTTAATTTATCTTACTTATTTTTTCATATTTCAATAGATAGAATACGATTCTATGTTAAGCTCTATCCAAAAATTCATTAAAAAAATTTCTCTTTTGAGTATGTTTTTATTAAAATGAACGTTAGATTGTCAAAAGTAATTCAACATATTCATAATTTAATTATTGAATATAAACTTGTTGTGAACAATCATTAGAAACAATTTTCATGTTACGCAGAGAAAAAAAAGTTAACATAGAAAAATGATTAAAAATTTCAAATGTCGACGTGTCATATATATATACATGTAATGCATTCGAACAATAAACGAACATCAATGACATTTAAGTTCACATATTTCAATTATTAAACAAATTTGTTATGCTAGCGAAGTTTTTTATTGAAATTGTTAGAAGATGAAAATGATCAAAAGACGTAGAAATTTATCTTCAAGCTCCTTGACAAAACATCGTAATAAGTTTGATATTTTTCATGCTGAAATTTATTGATATGTACGAGCAATGTCCACCGTGACAGGTGTTATACGTTGCATTGATTGTCGTTGGAAACTGAAAACTTTTGTTGAATTTTGTAAAATTTGCCCAATTCCGATAAATTTTGAAAAGAAAGAGAGAGAGAGAGAAAACGACGGAGAACTTATTAATAGGTTCAGAGGTACGACGAATATCGCTGAAACTGATCCTAAATGTGCTAAAATTTCGAAAACTATGTATTTATTTTTGTGTCGCAGTGGCAGTGGTTCAGTCACTAAAGTAACACCTTTACTCACCATATAGTAATTAGAAAATCTATGGACTTTCTAGATTTGAATAGAAGAAAAATCCGTATGCACCCAATAGTAAAAAGAAATCAAGCAAGTAATAACGATTAAAGAACTTCTATGGAATTTCACATCGTTTGACGGAATAGCAGAATTGAACGATGTAAATATAAGTGAAAATCAAGAACTTCAATAAAATCTATCGAGAGAAGAGAACTAATAGAATTGTATTAAATTGTTACATTTTCTTAGATCGTTTAAATTTCTTAATTTTCAGCATTATTTCGAAAGTGACAATGATGTCATCCTGTTTCTGAAATAGTCAAGTAGAATTGTATGAAATTGTCAATTGCTGGATGGTGAGTATATCTCTAAAGATAAATGTCAGACATATCTCGACATTCCGACGCGCACAACAACTTTTTGTTGTTTTTCAAGCATTTTTGAAACATTTTCGAGTCAAATCGATTATTAAAAAATATTTTTTAAAAGAGAAATGTATTAAGGCCTCCCCTACCCACGCAAAAATCGATCTCAGTCCAGGTACGTTCAAATGGGCTGAAACTTGGAGCATATGTTGGGACGAAAGTGAGGAGGCTATGGTAAAATTCTCAGCTCGATACTATGACGTTTGACAGAGATATGAATCAAACAACGAGTCAAAAATAGCTCATTTGCTTTCCAAGATTTATTGGTCCAGGTTCGTGCTATATGTTTAATTTTTTTTTATTAGAAAGAGCATGTCAGGATGCAGAGCATCACAGAGTCCTTTTTTTTAAAATTCTTACTTTTTTAGCGGAAAAAGGGAATTACAAGTTCAATGACTCAAAAAAAAGCACCAAAAATGGGTGTCTAGTTACGTAAATGTCTGTATATATAATAAAAAATAAAGCTTAATTAAAAAAAGGACTCTGTCGTTCCCTGCACCTGGACATGCTCTTGAAGAACAAAAGAAAATTTAAATATATTGAAAGAGCCTGGACCGAGACATCTTGGACAAAAGATCAAAAAGTCATAAACAGAGAAAAAATAAAAAACATTTTGTGATCTTTCAAAAAACCGCTGGTTTTTCGAATAGGGGTTTCGAAAAACTTGGGAAATTTTTGGAAAAAATGAGGTATCGAGGAAAACTTTTTATCGTTTATGAAGAAGCAGATGACAGGTGTGGGTGTAAGCATATGCGTGAAGAGAAGACCCACACCCACACCCTTTTTTATTGTTTTATTATTGTTAAATAAACTTTTTTATTAAAGCATATATAAGTAATGTAAAAGTAATAAGATGGGGAAATAAAGCTATTTTTAAACGACGAGATGAGATAATGAGTGATATGCATCAGCAGCCATTTCGAGAAAATCGATCACAGGTTTCACCAAACGTCTAAACACAGCAGCAGGTGAATACACACATGTTAAACATCCCTCAGCTAACATCTTAGCTGCATGTTTTCCACCATCCAACAATAAAGCGGCCTGTCCACAATACGAACTACGTGTTGATCGACCAACTTCTTCATGCACTCCATCTGATGCTCTTCTTTTATATATAACCGCCTCACCTAAAACACAATCCATTTAAAAAAAAACAAAAGAAAATTTTTTTTACCCTCAACAATAATGTAAAATATATCTCCAAGTTCATTTTCGACCAGAACTGTGGGTAGGGTGTGGGGTGCGGGTGGATGTGGGTGTGGGTGTGACTTAAAATATCTTTCACACCCACACCCACACCCTTTAAAAATTGTAATCTTCTTTGAAATAGATCCTTTTCGATTTCAAGTTGTTCAATGTAAAATAGACTATATGATAAACAATAATGAATTAAGAATTTATTTACTTCAAATCGATAAGCTGTAAATGCAACATTTGATGTTGTGGTTGCCATTTTATCAATAAACAAAAACTGTAAGAAGAAATCTAAAATTTTAATACAAAAATTCAATATAGGATATGGGGTGTGGATGTCATTTCTCTCTTTACTCACACTTACGCACCTACATACCCACATCCACACCCACCGCTTGATGAGCAGGTGGAGCTCATTCATTCCACTATCCTATGAGAAAAACAGTACTGTGACTATGATCCAACGAACCTTAGCCGTCTGCTCCATATATACATTACTTGCGGAGGAACTCGACATGATTCGATGGATAGCAAACCAAAACGGTTATCCTGTCAACTTCATTGATACTCGGATTGGTATTAGTTTGACTAAGTACTTTAACAGGAATATGGAAAAAGTGAAGTCAACCAACAAGATAGAAGAAGAAAAGACAAAGATGTGTTCCGAGATTCTCTATATCGGCACAGCCACTAAACAATCGAAATCCAAACCAAAAAAATCACAGAGAACGTCCGACCAGACATTGATGCATGATTCTTCGCCAAACCGATTCGATCAGTTCAAACCTACTTTCCTAATAAGGAGCCCCTTCTGAAAGAATTACAATCAGATATTGTCTATGCGATTAAATGCAATGACTGCGGACAGATATATGTCGGGAAGACCAAAATCACAACACATAGAGAAAACGAACAACACAGACTCTGAATCAACTCCATCCACACAACTACATTTACGTCGATCCTCCCGAATTTGTGAAAAAGCCATGGACAATAATTTGGTAAAAAAATGTAACAACAACAATTTAAATTCTTTCTTTCTAGGCACTAGCTGATCATCAACCAGCTTTGAATCGAAAAACTCACTCAGTTCCTCTACTAATCTATCCCAAAAGGAATGCCACTACACCTCGTTCCCAACCCTAACTGATTGTATCATGCACACTATCCCACAATTCTACCTCCGCCCATCCTACTAGTGTACATCAGCCGAAATTAAACGACCAAAACCCTATTCACCACTTCATCATCAATCTATACAACCTTTCGTACCAACTAACCACTCAAAACCATCCCCTGAAACGTCCAACCAAAAACCGAAAAAGACGAAACCCATCTAAAACGGCGACGGTCAACAATCATAAACCTCACAACAATATCCATGTTAAAAATCCAGGAACTAAACACCTCCTCATTCCAAAACTAAAACGCAACTCGCAAAAACCCATCGTTCAACTGACTACCACATTTACATATCTTATACCATTAAAATTTCAACATTCATTCTAATTTTCTTTTCCTTTCATATTTGTTATTACTCTGGTGGTAATATGGCAATTCAATTTGATTTAATATTATTTTCGGTGAAATCCGGTAAAATTTTTTCGTTTTATTGAAAATGACCTGTAACAAGTGTCGAAACGTTTAAAATTATTCAATATGTTCTACCACTGTTCAAACTATTTTCATTCATTCATCTAATGGTCCTCGTGGTGTTGATGATGGTGGAACAATTGTGTTATCAGTATATGTTTTTGTCATTTGATTATTGATCAGCTGATATTGATTTTGAATCAACGATGATGTGATTGGCTTGTCAGTTAAACGCGGTAGATGTCATGCTGATTGTTGAAATGGACCAGGAGATGGAGATAGAATGAATAAAGAACGTGAACGATGAATCATCTTTTTACTTCTTTGTTCATTTCCATTCATTTGCTCTAGCCTAATTCTTAATTGTTTGTAAACTATCTGGTGGAACTTGTTCT